GATGACTCGCCGTTTCCCTCCAAGTTAAAAAAAAAAAAATCATAGCGAAAGCTTCGGCGCTATGTATCGGGGCATTTTGACAAGTACAAGTACTTGTCAAAATGCCCTGAATCGGGCCCGATACCGATGCTAGCGTCGGTATCGGGACATCCCTACTTTGGGTGCAATGCTCAGGCTCTTGCAGAGGCCCTTGGACATTCAGTTAAGAGGCTGGCAAAGTAATCAATGGACTACAAGTGCAGCGACGTTGCAACACTCCATTGAGATCTGTGAATGGATGATGGGGGGCTTTGTAATGTGACTATGTTTTATGTTACACCCTAAATTTGACATGATACGAAACAACCACAAATGTGGAGTATTGTTTTAAAATCTCTTATGCTATAATCTGAAAATGAAACCGCTGGAGTTTACTTACTTCATACTTTAATTTTTCACCAGCTTTTAGTTTTCTCAAACGTTCAAAGGCTTCCTTACGGCCTTTCTTTTCGTTTTTTTCACGTCGTGACCGGGAAGCTGCAAAACTTCCAGAATCTGCCATGTCTGAAACCAAGATACACAAACAGAATAAAATATACACACATGTAGCACAATGCATTTCAAAAGCATTACCATTCATCACTATAAAAAGGTGCAATTACTGGAATCCACACTGGAGATACAGCAAGTAAATTATTTTATTTTTTTAATGCATCATGACACCCATGTGATCCTAGATTGCTAAAAATTGCTGTGAAAACTCACCTGCTTCAAATGGTGTCTCTGATGCCAGCCTGATAAGCAAGGCATTGCTTCATCACTTAAGCTGGCCGTACATTTATAGATCTTCAGCAGATTTCCGCTGATCAGATGGAAAAAGTGCAATAGATCTATGCTAAACTGTGTGGATGAAGGAATCTCCCACTGGCCCAAGCTTCTGTATCTTGCTGGTCGGCCCCACTGGCTCTCAAAATACCTGAACAATCTGATTGGATACAGGCATTGTTCAGGTATTTTGAGAGCCAGCGGGGGTGACTAGCAAGATACTGAAGCTTGGCCCAGTGGGCGATTCCTCCATCCACACAGTTTAGCGTAGATGGATACATTTGTTGCACTTTTTCCATCTGACCATAGAAAATCTGCAGATACTCTATAGGTGTATGGCCAGCTTACCTGAAATATTACTGTCGCTCCTAATGAAAGCAAGCTCTTATACAGCGAGGGAACCAACTATGTAAATGGGTGAGCCTTTCATTGTCCTGTCCTCCATAGCCATCCTGAAACTGGTAAGGACCACAAAAGGTGATACAGACTCAAACGCAGAAATGTGACCCCCGGAGGTTTCTACGATCCATGGATACACCTAAACAGCTCCACTCTCAAACTGGTTGATTTGTGCTTGATAAGGACTGCATTTCCAATCAAACATTTGCTGGAATTCATAAAGTGTCAGATACTCTTTAAAAAGCCACCTTGTGGTAGTGCAATAAGTGACGGAACTTGCGACAGAGTCATGAACGTGTCATTAAAGTGTATATGAACCTGTCTCGACAACATGGAGAATTTCAAGCCTCGTTCACACGAGCAGCAAAGAAGCGATATAACCATGCGGTTGATCTACGTTTATTCCACCCCTCATAAATAGTGGGTGCTCAAGCCAGTACTAATGCTGCCGTGGCTTTGCATCATGGCAAATTTTTTACAGCATATCATGTTTGGCAAAGAACGGCTCTTGCTAAATGTGACCAGTGTAGTTAATGGGACTGTGCCCCAACTGCATACCATACCATCGGTTAATAAACCCCTGTGCCCCAACCGCATACCATCGGCTAATGAACCCCTGAAAAAGGTCTTAACCATCCTCTGGAAAGCAAACCATTGCAGAGGGCAGTAAAGACTGCAGAACGTGTGAACCTAGAATTACAGGCAGAGAAGGTATTTGAAGAAGCTGGGGATGTAACGGAAACCTATCGCATATCTGTTCCAGGGGAGCATAAAGAAAATGTTGCTGCAAAATTGTCCCAAAGATTGGACAAAAAACAAAACATGGTACAATAAGCTACAACAACAAGAAAAACAAAAAAAATAGGTCTTATGTGCCTCCACTTTGCTCATCACTAATATGGGGGAATTTCTTAACTGCTTGAAGGCCAGGTGTTTAGACCCCCTTCCTGTCCAGGCCATTTTTCAGTGTTCAGCGCTGCGGTACTTTGACTTGCATTTATTCCGTCACGCAGCGCTGTACTGAAATGATTTTTATACCATTTTTTGGGGATAGATAGAGCTTTCTTTTGGTGGTATTTATTCACCACTGGGGTTTTTATTTTTTACTATATTCAGGAGAAATTACTGAAAATTTTGAGAAAAAAAAAAATATATATTTTACATTATGTTAGGAAACATTTATTATTACCCACTTTTTTAGTAAAATATAAAAGACGGGGTCAAGTTGGGTAAATAGACACCAAACATGTCAAGCGTAAAAATTGCGCGCACTCGCAAAAAACTAGCATACCCAAAATTGTCCATAGGCGACGCTTTAAAAGCTTTTACCGCTCATCAGTTTAGTGTCATCAGTGATTGATGGCCCTAGAACTATTGCTCTCATTCCGACGTTCGCGGCGATATGGAACATGTGCGGCGTAATGGGTGCAATCGTCGTTTTCGCAGGTATGCGCACCTGACGCATGTTTACATGCGTGTATGTAGGGGTGGGGACTTTAAAACATTTTTTTGTTTTTTTTCATTCTTTTTTTGTGTAACTTTAAAAAAATTGGAGGGGAAATTGCGGAGGGGGGGGGGCGCACGTCTCGGGGCTTCATACAAGCGATCCATCGGCTCTATAGCCGGAGGATTGCTTGTATATTAACGGTCATTGCTGCCTCTTTTCAAATAGCGGGGATTTCCCGCACGCGGCGCGGGCGGATGTAACAGGACGTGTATACACGCCCAGTTACATCCAAGAAGCTCCCGGCAGGCCGTGTATACACAGCGGCTGGCCGGGAGGTAGTTAATGAATGTCACAACACTCATCATACTGTAAGAAAAAAAACGACTTGAATTTGTCACACACATATCGGTACTAACAATGAAAATATTGCAGGGTTTTCATGAATTTGGTACAAGGTTTCCAAGTACATTCACACTGCCAGAAATGTGTCACAAACACCTTGTACTATGGCCACCTAAGATTCTAAATTGCCACTCTAATGCCGGTAACAATGGGGGACAAAGCATCCGTGACACTTTTCCAGCATTATGATTGTATTAGAAAGTCCGGCACCAAATTCATGAAAACCGTGCTACAGCTCTCCTGCCATTTCTGACACATGTAACTAATTGCAAGTAGTTCTGGCGTTACGCCCGCAACAAAAAGAAATCCCGCCATATCGGTGGTAAGAAAAGTGGAATAAGACCTTTTCTATGTTGGAATCAAATTGTATCACAGACAACATTCTACAACAGATTCATATACACCTTACCGACAGATTCAACAGATTCATATACACCTTACACCTTTCCAAGTTACATGAACCTGTCACAAATTGCGCAGACTGGAGCCAGATTTGTAACGGCATTCATGTATACACTTCATGAATTCCATTGAAAATGTTTACATTGGAACAATACAGCATACATTACCGCAATCCATATCAAAAGAACTAAAGCCAAACCTTTTTTTCTGGCATCAGCTGTCTTTTGGGTCACACGAGTACTTTTACCACTATCCTGCTGTGACCCAACGTAAGCATCTAGTGGGCTATTGACCCCTATATGGTGACAGTGCAGAGCTGCACTGCAGCCGGGAAAGATCTCGACAATATTGGGATCCACCCCGTTGCTTCTCTGGAGCCAGCTGTCTGTCTCTCCAATGAGCGCTAGAGGAATAGAGAGAGAGAACGGGGAATGGTGAATGACAGTCACTGCTCTCTGCAGGGAGAAGCCATGAGCTGAGAGATCAGTGGTATGTGATCACTCAGTTAGGGATTTTCAAATACCAGTGCCGATACTTGGCATTTTCACGAGAACTACCATGGTTGCAGCTGGGACCTGGCTCTGGCACTCCACCACTGTCCTGAAATCATAAGTCTGTATTGTTTTAGAAAAACTGTCACATGGCAATAAACAAAAATGTATCAGTACTTGCAAAAATGGTATCGGTGCAAAAATTATATATATATATATATACACATACACACACACACATATTAAAATGGGGATGTACAAATCCCAGGAGTTCCGTATGCTCCTTAAAAATGACAGCTGCCTCCTAAGTTTTGACATTTTCCCTAGTCTAGTCCTGGAGCTGGAAAAGTATCTGTACTTGTGCCGAGTACGGTACTTGGTATCTGAACATCCCTATTCTCAATCTATAGAGCTGGCACATGAGCTGAAGTGTCACACGCCAGCTCAAAGTATTGGGAAGAGTATATTTTGCTCTCGCAATAGTTCACATTACATGTAACAGCACATTGCAGGCCATTCATTTACCTCAACAGAGGGCATGTGCTACAATGGATATTAAGGAACCACCATACATGATGCGTTGAATAGCAAAAAGTGTCCCGTTTCATTGTTCTGGACATTCTAGTGCATTTTATTAACTGCAAGGGTTAATAAAAATGTTATCTGGAGTTCTTTACTGTGTGTTGCATTAGGACAGCCTGTATAAAAGATTGTAATTTAAACAGGCTATTCTAACGCAACACACATTAAATGACAACTCCAGCTAAAAATGTTATTAACCCTTGCAGGCTGGGGCTACCCCCAGCCTGCAAGGGTAAAGTGCTCATTTTTGCTTAAGGCCAAAAATAAAGATATGCTTACCTGATCCTCAAGCCGGCTGGCTAGGACTGCGCTCCCTGCACCCTGTCTCCTCCTCTCCTCCAGCGGTGGTATGTCCCTCAGTGTCTGAACTTCCTATACACAGTGCATAGATTGTGATGACTCCGGGATCCTTAGACCACTGCAGCGGAGAGGGAGAGAGGCTCCAAGGACCGGTCTAAGAGAAAGCCAGCTCAGAGGATCAGGTGAGTATAACTTTTCTATGTGCGACCTTCGGCAAAAAAGAGTATTCAACCCTTGCAGTGTGCAACCTACTGCAAGGTTTAATAAACTTTTTACCCAAAGTTCTGCTTTAACCACTTGAAGTCCACGGTGTTAAACCCCCTTCCTGTCCAGGCCGTTTTAGTATTTAGCACTGCAGTATTTTAACTGACATTAATTCCGTCACGCAGCGCTGTACTGAAATAAAATGTTATACCATTTTTGGGGGCAGATAAAGCTTTCTTTTGGTGGTATATAATCACCACTGGGGGGGGGGTTATTTTTTAATATATTAAGGAAAAAGTACTGAAAATTTTTTTTTTGTTAAGTTTTTTTTTTTTACATTATGTTATAATAGAATTATTACCCATTTTTTTGGTAAAATATAAAAGACGGGGCCAGGTCGGGTAAATAGTCACCAAACATATCAAGCCTTAAAATTGCGTGTGCCCGCGAAACCGCAAAAAAACTACCATAGCCAAAATTTACCGTAGGCGACGCTTTAAAAGCTTTTACCGCTCAATAGTTTAGTGTTATCAGTGAATAATTGCCCTAGAATTATTGCTCTCACTGCGATGTTCGTGGCAATATGCAACATGTGCGGCGTAATGAGCACAATCGTCGTTTTCGCACCCGACGCATGTTTGTGCGCGTGTATGTGGGGGTGGGGACTTTAAAAAAAAAGTGTTTGGGGGGGGGGGGGTTATT